AGCAGGATGTATGTGTGTTTAAAAGCAGTTAGTGATGGTTGGAAAAAAGGATGCAGACCAATCTTTGGGGTTGATGGTTGTTTTCTTAAGGGAATATGCAAGGGCATACTGTTATTTGCTGTTGGTAGAGATGGAAATAACCAAATGTATCCAATTGCATGGGTTGTCGTTGAGTTAGAAAACAATGATTCTTGGCAATGGTTCATGGAAAAGCTTGCAAATGATTTGGAGTTGGGCGATGGACATGGTTACACCATGATTTTTGATAGACATCTAGTAAGTATTTATCACAATTATTATTAACTTTTTATGATTAGGGACAATATGTGTTTATTATAATAATTAATTGCATATTTAATTGTGCAGGGCATGATTAATGCAAAGGCAAAGGTATTACCATTGATTTGGCATAGATATTGTGCAAGGCACTTCTACTGCAATCTTGCAAGGCGAAATAGAGGTGATGACATCAAGCTTGCATTTTGGTTGGCATGTAGGGCAACCAATGAGTTCGACTATCTTGACAAAATGGATGCTTTGAGGGCGTTGTCTGAGGAGGCTTATACTGAACTGAATGAACTGCCTGGTAATTTCTGGTGCAATGCCTTTTTTAATGAGCATTGTAAGTCTGATGTGGTCGATAATAATATGTGTGAGACTTTTAATGCATGGATTTTGGGTGCAAGATGCAAGGCCATTATTTCACTGTTTAGGACTTTAATTGACTAGCTCATGGAGAGATTTAAAGACAAAAAGCTGTTTGTTGATACATGGGCAACTAATATTGCACCTAGAGTTCTAAAGAAGATCAATGATAATAATAACCTGTCAATGAAATGCAATGTGAGGTGGAATGGTGACAATGACTGTAATACCCCAAAATTTTGTGCTATTTTAGCATTTAAGTAAGGGTTTTTGTGTGAGAAAATATTGTTTTGGGCTTAATAGCCAAAAGTTTGAAAGTTGAGGGGCTTAAAGAGGGAAAGATTTTGGATGAGGATGGCTTATTTCTTTTTCTTCTTTTCCTCTTTCTTCTCAGCCCGATTCTGCTCTTCTTCTTCTTCTTCCCGCTGCAGCCAAAAAAAAAGAAAGGGGGAACCCAGCCATGCCTTTGAGAAACCGGTAAAGCTTGATGATTTTCCCTTATTTTCTTGTCCAAGAACCTGATTTAGAACTCAGAAATCTCTCCCTCTCTGCAGAAACCCAAATCTGGTCGGTTCTCCCCTCCCCTGTCCGTGAGCTGCAGCTTGTGGGTGGGTGATTTCTGGGCATGTTTTCGGTAAGAACAGCCCCTAATCCCTTTGTTCTTGCTTGAAGTGGCTTGGGTTTACTTTAA